GATGATGAGGATGATGATGATGATGATCATGATGATGATGATGATGATGATGATGATGATGAGGATGATGAGGATGATGAGGATGATGAGGATGATGAGGATGATGAGGATGATGAGGATGATGAGGATGATGAGGATGATGAGGATGATGAGGATGATGAAAGAGGAGGAGGATGATGAAAGAGGAGGAAGAGGAGAAGGCAGAGAATAAGGAGGAATAGTTCTTGTCCATGATTAGCGAAAACACTGTTCTACGCCCTTTTGCCAGCCGCACAACACATTGCATTTTGTTACATTCATAAATGTTCTTGAAAACTTAGGGTGACGATCTTTAAAAGTGGAATTGAAATTGAAAGTGCCCCTTCTGTACCCCCTCCTATGAGTTCAGTAATTAAACTGAGATGCGAAAGATCTTCACAAATCCCTCAAACTATGTCTGGATGTCATCATATGGATCATGAACAAGACAACAATATAATGCTTTGCCAATTTACTTTGTAAACTCACTATTACGTCAAAGGACCAATATAACTAATAGACGTTAATTAGGAAGATATTAGACCCTCGATAAAGTGTGGCATGAACTTTCTCCCATAGTCTGCATGGAAAATTTGTCTGGCCCAGAACAAAATAAATTTCAGATGACTTTTTGTTTGCGTGCTATTTGAACAAGATGAAAATAGAAGTAAAATAGGAGAACAACATTGCTGTGTCTTCAATAAATCTTGACTTTCTAGCATGGAGATTGAACCTTGTAGTTTGCAATTGTTCTTTATTTGAAAATTTCAGAAAAAAATCATCAACACAATTATATGTACACCTGTATTTCTTACATAATGTTACTTTGAGTTTTGACCAGAAATAGATATAGTTAATGAAGATTAATGCCAAATATTCAGACAAATGGAATATTAGTCCTGCAGTCAATTTTGAGTAGACCGATGCCTTTTTTTAAAGAAAAATCAGTAAATCGTTGTACAGTACAGTTGTTAATGTAAACCAATGATTACCCATTGAAAACAAAGCCCAAGATATTGCAAATGCATGTCACACCAAAATAAAACCCTAGCCAAGATGTAAAAACAGTGTGTTAAACCATAGACGTAATTATGCATGTATCTTTAATCCCCACGACAACAAAACTTTCAAAATTTAAATAGCTTTATATATAATACCAAGCTCCAAAAAAAATGTATTTCAAAGCAGTGTGAACACAACTTTACGATGCCTGGGGATGTCGCCAGGGAGAACCCCCATCCCTGTCGCCGTAGCGATGACATCCGCATCTTGCATCCTCCGTCCCTGCTCTAACCCCTCGCAAGGAGGAGCGATCAATAAATGTATGCCTATACTCAGTATGGACATGTGGGGTTTGGAACTGCACGCATGCATACAGATGTAACACACGCTTGACCGACCTAAACAGCCAGAAAGCTTGCATCGAACATCGACTGACCATTTCGTACCCCAAAAGCAGAAGCTCGTGAAATTACCCAATGAAGAGAAGAAATCTACATCTCTCCCGGGGTGACACTCAGCCGGAGGGACCAAGATTTGAATAATATTCGAGAAATAAAGTTACTGTTTATAGAAAATCTCCCGATCGATGTTTTATTTTCTCAGCATCGGCATCGTCAAATTCCCCGAGAGAAGAAATCTACATCTCTCTCGGGCAGGCACTCCGCGGGAGAGATCAAGATTTGAATAATCGAGCGCAAATAGAGTTACCATTTGTGGAAATCTCCTGACACTTTGTTTTCCCTGAGAAAGCATTGTATAATTCTCCAATGAAGAGAAGAAATCTACACCTCTCCTGCATGGGCAGTTGGAGAGATGGAGATTGGAATAATCTTCAAGAAGAAAAAAAGTTACATCTATAGCAAGTTTATCCTGATGATTATTACCCCAGCATCAGTGCTCCGAGGTGAGTTTGGATAATGTAATTTGCTGACAAATCAAGTACGAAGGGGACATTAATGGGGGAAACAAAAGCCAGTGGTTGCAATTCCTTGAATAGTTGAATAAAGTTTGACTGCTGAATAAAGAGCTCTTGACAATAAAATTTAATTTTCTAACCTCTGTAAAATGCTTGAAATAATTTTATCATTTTATTAGAAAACATGCGGAGAAATAATCTCTTACCTGTATGTGACACAGGAGTTGATACACAGTTGAGATGGAGTTGATGGACGAAGATATGCAGATAGGGTTGAAGTTCACATGCAAAGAAGAACAAACAAACAAAATCACATTATCAATCAGTATAGTACAAGCAAATGATCATCATTCCTTTATATAATAATATCTTTCCCATTTACTGGGAAATGTGTAGACCAAACAACGAAATGGACAAGAATGTTCATACTTGACAGCCTGAGCATTTGCAACAACACACACAAAAAAAAAATCCCCACGCAACTGACAGTTGCGAAATTTGTGTTCCAGCCAACAATAAAACCATATTTCTTTCTCCTGCCCTGTGGGTAATAACTCTCTCAACTTCCCCTCCCAAACTTGAGATCGTCACAGGTCACCTGACAGCTAGACACAGGTCATGTGACTTGCCAATAATACATGAATCTCTTCATGTGTTTACAAGCAGATGTGTAATGTTTTGAGAACCACTGCAAGAAGACATTCTCAAGACATTTGTTTTTTAGACAAGTGACATAAGCAGACAACAACTTGTAAAAAATGTTGAGAAATTACAGCTCACATAAGATGATGTGCCATTGGTTGGTAAATATAAATATCAATATAAAGCTAATAATACCCCTCCCCCCCCCCCCCCTCAACAGTATCTCAATTTCCCCTACATTTTTTTAATTTTCTTTCTATGCCATTAGATTTATGAAGGAAATAGACTTGTCAAGAGTCAATAACAAGGGTATATTTCTTTGTCTCATTGTAACTTTGGCTTCAGATATTTCCCAGGGAAACTCTTTACATAGTATATACTTATTTGGGTTTCAGGAGGAAATACACAAGATGATTGAGAGTAAGCTTTTAGTAGAACATTATCATTCTAGGACAAGACTTTCCCTTACAAGGCATATAAGGGGTTACTAAATAATGTAATAGTTCAAGTTTAGGAAAATTAGTATATATATTATATATCATAATTTAGAAATTGAACAGAGTTGAGAAGTTTGAAGTTATATGTAAAACCTTTTTCTGAATGGTAAAGTACTCCATTGACAACTGAATAATTCCTTTATTCCCATATACTTTCAGGAGCAGACTGGTTCCGGTAAGTAATGAGTTAAAGTATCTCTTTAGAATATATCTTTTAAAACTAAACTAAACTCAATGTGAGGGAATCTCCCCCAATGGTTTCAATTGCTTACATGAATTACAACAAGAATTACAATCTGAAACATATTGATTTCCTACTTTACAAATAGGATATTGTACTTTCAATTGCCTATAAGGATTCTTTTCCGGTAATGAAACTTAAAAGGTCACTAGTTCTCACTCATAATGACTTGACCTTGAATATACTTGACCTCCAACTGACAGAAGTACCTATGGGCTGTCCAACAATTTATTTCTATGACAAAACATGATCCATTTGAAACTCTTTGATATGATTATGACCAATCAAAAGAGATTTATCAGAGATGAATGTTTCATTATGATTGACAACTGTCTCATTTACATCAATCAATATCTTTATTTGACAGCTGATGTTGGGACTCCCGCAGAGTGTGTCATCACGTAGTAGGTCCATATCCAAACCCTCCCTCCCCTCTCTTTGTCTGTCCCTCTGTCCCTCTGTACCTCCTCTCCTCCCCCCCCCCCCCCCCCCTTCCCCTCCCCAGCATGTGTGAAAAGCCCAAAAAGCTAGTCCAGGGTTAAGGATAGTACGGGGCTAAGCAAAGTACAGGGTTAAGCAAAACCAGTGTGAAAAGAGTATTTGTCACAAATATTGATGGCCCAAGTGCTCTTATAAAGCCTTGAGAACAAAACCCATGCTGATTTCAGAATGATTCACCTGAACATGATCTATGAAAAAATGTTGGCTTGTGGCAAAAGGTAGGGATGTCACAGTGACATAGCTGGTTACCTCCTAGGTATCATGTTACCTGTATGACATCATCATGACATCTTTTCATTCGTTAGTTTCACACAAGTTTCTGTATACTTTAAGACACAGTCTTACACTTTGAGGTTATTGGTATCTATTGGTTATTGGTTAGAGGAGGCAAGTTGGCTCTGTCCCCTGTCGAACCAAACTATACATCATTCACACACAATTTCAAACGTGAACCACCTACAATCTTTGCATAAACCTCTGTCATATACCTGTGAAGTTCCAATGAAAAACAAAATTCCTGTGAATTTGTGTAGGTCATATCTTTCGAACATCAACATCTTAGTAGATTACACAGGTAACTTTCTATGCCAGATTTCAAATCTCTTCCTAAATCCACTAACGTATCTAGTCCGGTACTAGATTTCAAACCAGATATGAGAGTGCACTTTTTAATACCAATCATAAGAAAAAGGTATGAAATAATAATATTCATCATCCCTTAAAGGGGAGATTAGACAAAATGTTATGATGTAAATCTGCATGATTATCCTCTCTTTATCATCTTAAATCTTAGGATGATGATGGAGAAGATAGGCATCATCCTTATTGCCAAGCTATGAACAGAAGTTCCTACTTATATTTATGCAAACTTGCATGCCAAGAAGATATGCCCTCTAAGCTTGCAGGAGCGCAATCTGAAGCCCTTGCAATCTAATCTTGCAGGCCGACAGTGTATGCCCAGCAAGCTTGCACAAGGTCAAACTAAAGCTCTTTCAAAGCTTGCAATGCACACGGCAAAAAGGATATGCACTGCAAGCGTGCAGGTGCACAATCTAAAGCTTGCAAGGCATATGCTTTTGTCTGTATGCGTGTACACACTCTAGCCTGTATGCACGCTTGCATTCTAGCTTGCAGGGTACACACTCTAGCCTGTATAAGTGTACACACTCTAGCCTGTATGCACGCTTGCATTCTAGCTTGCAGGATACACACTCTAGCCTGTATAAGTGTACACACTCTAGCCTGTATGCAGCTTGCATTCGAGCTTGCAGAGCATACTCTTGCCTGAATACTATAAGTGTACATACTCTGCCTGTATGCAAGCTTGCATTCTAGCTTGCAGGGTACACAATCTAGCCTGTATACTATAAGTACACACTCAGCTTGTATGCAAGCTTGCATTCTAGCTTACGTACAGCATATACTCTTGCCTGTACAAGCTTGCAGAGCTTGTGTATACGGTATACAAGCTTGCAGAGCTGGAATGGCAGAAGATGGGAGCTGTGATGTCACAAATCAAGTTTCACTGTGGGAGAAGATCATTAAAATGGCTGGTAAGTCGATATATTAATTATTTCTAAACTAGTATGACTATTGTTGCCAGACTTATATTATAAAATCAGTCATCCTGAATATTTCCTTCTGGTTTCCTCAACATATGACAATGTGTGTATTGTTGATGAGGGGCCCCCGGACAGCATGGTTAATTTATTTGCATGGTGGTGAAAGTAATGTGATTTTCAGGGAAAGTAGGTACTGTGATGGCCCTGTGTGAGGGGGTGCATGGTGTCTTATCAGTGTCTTATCAGTGTCTAGAGCCTTAATCCCCAGGTGTATACAAACACCAGCTACATCCAGCCAGGGAGATGTCAGTTAATCCCTGATTCAGCTGTGTCCTTCAGTACCACCCAGTGAAATAACCCTGTATATTAGGATATTATGTAACCAAGATTGAGATGCTGTATAAACATGAGGAGTAGAGATAAGAAGAAAGCACTTTTGCACCTACACACCAAGCAGTAGAGTCACACCTGAATTTGTAGTGAAGTTCTTATAGCACAGAATGGAAGAACACAAAAATGAAATGTCCTGTGAAAGTGCCAAAGTGGAATGCAAGTTGGGTAAAGTATAAATTACTTTATTACCAGCCTATATACTTGACAGATCTCTGACAAGTGTCTAATTTTTGTTTTTAAGTGGCCCAAACATTGTGGAGTGTGTGTGCAGCGCGCTTTGTAACTGCAAGGAAAAGGCGCTTTATCATATATCTTTTGGATTGGATTGGACAATATTGCACAGAGGGTGAAGTTAAGGTTTGCATGTAAGCATGCAAACAAGCTCTCGATTTTTCTACTTCCCAAAGTTGTAAATGGTTTCCATTTTTGTTATAACTTTTTTTTTACAAGCATTTCCTTGCCAGATATCTAATTGAATAACTGAGAAAAGATATATATCAATTTTAATAATGTATTTTCTGTTTTTCTTTGATAGAAATCAAAATAGAGCTGGAAGAGGAACAGGATGTTGTCCCGTTACTAAGAGAATTAGGTAATCTAGAAGTACCTCTTGCCCCACCAGCCCTGCCCGCTCTTGCCCTGCCCGCTCTTGCCCTGCCCGCTCTTACCCTGCCAATTCTTGCCCTGACAGCTCCTGCAGAGGCAAGTGCAGAGGCACAAAATGAACTCTGGAGGCAAACGTTTGCCGAATCAGCATCTGTGAGTACAAATCTTATCTCGAAGTCAAATTGAATAGTTTTGGAGCTCATGCAGTAAATACTTGGTGATACCCTTTGTGAATTTTCATTAGTCATGTGCACCATGCAACCCAGAAAATGATAATCCCTTTAAATGTTAAGTTTGAAATGTGATGCTGATCAATCTAAAAATGAAATGCATATTGATAGGTCAGCGTCTGTTTAGAAATATCTTTCAATTTCACTTTTGCATAGAAACAAAACCAGTTTTTCATCTCAAATTGTAATCGTAAACACTGGTAGCTAGAAGACATATCAGTTTACACACACAAAAGCTCAACGTATCTTCACACATGGCACATATCACTGATTAGTTATGTGGGTATAAAATAAATACAACAATGTGCCCAAAATTATATGTTTTATTAATTTATTTTTAGTCTACACACAGAGAAGAAATCAATAGCCTGAAAAGGAGGGTTGCAGCTTTGGAGGAGGAGGTTGCCGAAAAGGACAAGATAATTGCAGCTATAAAACAGGCCAGGCAGGGAACCCTCTTCACTGAAGGTATGAACTGAATGATATTTTGTGTGTGTGTGTGTGTGTGTTGCTTTGTGTTTTGGAGGGCTTATTAAAGCCCCACTACGCTACTTATAGCTACTTGCGCCCTCTATAGAAAACAATGCCTAAGCGGTGACCATTGGTCCCCCATGATCCCTTTTTTCTTATGTTAATCGAGAGCTGATTTGATGAGATAACCACCTGTCAGTGACCGTGCAGGGAGGTCTAATCCATCCTGACCTAACTTGTGCAGAGGGGCTTTAAATTCGACTCTCCATTGATATTTTGTTTAGGTGGTCCTGAGATATTCATATTCAATTAAACATTTAGTGACATTCTTTGGTATTAATATTCCATATTATTCGGCTTTGGTTTATATTTTTGATATATTTTTGTTTAAACAGCAGTATCCTCTAACCATACCATGGCAAAGCCATATATCTTAAAGCATGTTGATATTGCAATTTCATTGTCTAAGCATTGCAGAGAAGTTGTTCGACTTCAAACCATGACACACACCAATATCTATCAAGTTCATGAAAAAATGTGACTGCCAGGTTAATTTTTATTTACCGGTATCATGTTTTTGTTTTTTTAATGAATGCCGACAGCTTTCACTATTTAAAACCCTATTCAATGAAAATACCAATTTATATCAATGGAAAGCTGAATGAACATAAGATACAAATATAAAGGAATAACTTTTCCCTTTCATTATTGCACAAAAGCAAAATTAAATTACGGGTCAACAGGGGTCAAATTTGCTGAAGTTATATGATGACATAACGTGGACCGGATTGGCTCGCCTACATAGCTGAGGCAATGAGCCATGCTTAATTGATGTCATCAAGTTGATATCTAGTTTTTAGGTTGACAATTTCTGATTTTTCAAAACTTTGGATGTTGGAGTTTTCAGAGAGCTGTAATTACTCCTATGACAGACACTAGAATAGCATATACCGGTAATTGATATCATTGTAATCTATGGCTTATAAGCTGTCCATTGTTATATAATTCATTAAATTATTCGTTCCCTTCCGAGAGGGTCTTTAAGGTATTCCCTCTTTTTGTTTCGAATACAGATATCACCCCAAAGAAAAGGAGACTGATAAGAGCAATCAGTGATTTGGTCTGTGGCCAATCTGTGAGCAGCACGGTGAGTTTAAACAATTAATATAATTAATTAAAGTAGTGATTAACAGAAAGGGATGATAATTTGAAGAATACAGCTTGTGAGTCTGTGATATTTTGTACTGTACTTTTTGTATAGTAAAATTGTAGTTACATCTGAATCTTAAAAAAAATTTGCAGTGTAATCAGATCAAGTAGGATCAAACTTTCTTTTCCTTTTGTAAGATGTGGCAAAGTTTGTCAATAAATTGTATACATTTCTTCTGCCAGACTTGCTCACCGACGCACTTTGAAAACGAGGACCCCCAGCCTTTGGGTACACAGAGTACGGCCTCATCGTCTTCTGTAAGTTGACTTCTTTTTAAATACATTTTTTGGTAGCGATTCGCAAAAACAAACATTAATAAAGTGATCTACATCATAAATGTATTTTGTCGACTGCTTATCTTTCTGTAAAAAATCATTAAGTTTTACCAAATATTCTGTTGCAGTAGAACTTTGTTAAAACAAACTCACCGGAACTGAAGAAATTACTCTGTTATATCCAAATTTTGTTTCTATTAGAGCTGAAGAAAAATTAAAAGCAAAGAACTTGGACAACAAAAATACATTGCTAATAAATTTGATTAAATGCTATATTTTTCTCAGGAACTGGTGCCATTATTCCCCGGAGGAGAACCGATCCTGACGGAAATTGAAAAAAGAAACGTGTTTAAGAAGGGCACAACAAAGGAGGCCCTCCTAAACGCCCTTCTAGATGCTGTCTTTGGGTTAAAGACTCTGGCACTTGGGAACGCTTGCGGGGCAAGAGTTGCTGTGAACAAGGGAGAGGAGGGAGGTCATGAGAAGCTCGACCCGAAAAAGTTAAACCAAATAAAAGGTAATGTTTTAAACAACTGCTCTTTTCGTTTTCACTGTAACAGGTATGCCTTCAGGCCTTCACCCATCCCCCCCAAAAAAAAAAATAATAATAATAATAATAATAATAATAATAATTAAAAAAATGATCTGTCAATGACAGACCACCTAAATATATAATTGACAGGTTTTAATGTAATTTCAATACATAGTGTTACATTTTTGTTTACATAGTGCAAACACGTTTATTTCCTTGCCTCATTACTTTGCAATTTCACTAGTCTCACTTATTGTTCGGGTATCACTTTTTTTAGGTTTCATTTTTTTTCTTCAAATGAAATACTGAAAGCAGGGGGTACTATTATAGTTAAAACCAGGAAATAATATTCAACCACTTTCATGTTATAAATCCTATGGTTGAATCACAGTGAATATCACCCTTTTATTAGAAGAAAATCGTCTAAATAAGCAATTTAAGATACAATTTTACTAATCTGCTTCAGTAATGAATGGTAATAATTTGAAAAATTTTGAAACATGGTACTAGAGATTGCATGTTTGTCAAATATCTAATTACTTTTACCTAAACTTAAAAAAATATACATTTGAACTTTGATTTAACTATATATTTATTTTAACTATTTTTTTATATTTTTTTATTTCCCCAGAATGTGTCTTGCGAAGATTTAAAACCCAGGACGACCAAAAATGTTTCTCTCCCAAGGATTTCAACCGAAAAATAAATCAGAAATGTGGCACGGCCCGCAGATCCCTAAAAACCAAACAAAATGTTGATACTTAAGGAACAAAATATTTGGCAGGTAAGGTCTTATTTTTAAAGGCCAGTTCTGGTGAAAGTACTTTACGAAAGCAGGAAAATCAAAAGAGCAGAATGGTGAAAGATTTTGTTTTAAAATCAAACAATGAATAAGTAATTTAAGACTATGTATCTGAAAAGCATTTTTGTCATCAGATTTTAATCTTAATTGTTGTAAACTGTAATATGTTTTGTATTCACTTACAATTTTATCCAACGTTTTTACATCAATTATGAAAAGGTTATCTTTTATTTGTTGCACATGTATATTTCCATGATATGAATATTTTTTTCTCTAAACAAGATGGCACCCACAAAGAACAGAAGATGTTTTGTTACCAAAATGCTATTAAATGGTTATAAATTAACATTTGGTAAAATCATTATCTTTGGGGAACAGTTTCACAAATTTTCTCCACTTCAAGTTCTATGTATCCAATTTGTGGCACCAGACTTGCCAATACCTTTCATTTTCTTTCATTTTTGAGAGAGAAAAAAAACAACACACAAACATTTTGAGATATCAAAAGCTGTGAATAATTTTTGGTCAATGTTTTCATGTACTTTTCGTTATAGAGATAGATATAGGAGAATAGTTGATGAAGTATTCAGAAGTCTCACAGTCAAGTTGATCAAGTATTCATTTTGACCTCTTTGGGACGCAGTTCCCATTTTTAATGATGTACATGTGGAAGTGGAGGTGTCGTGGTCCAGGTTATAATAAAACAAGTATATATATATATATGAATGATGTGTCTTTTGTAGATCTCTGTCGATGTTATTGTCCATACTGTTACTATTATTCCATTACTACAAAAATGTTAACATTCACTCTCTAATTTATGTATTTTTATCAGTATAACTAATAAGTATGTGTTCTGATTGGCTGAGAAATAGTCTTGTTTACATTTGTAGAACCATGCAAACTGGCATGAACTCATAAAGTTACTAGATATTATCATGCAAGAACGAATAATGGTAGCAAGCTTGCGGCAAGCTAACACCAGACAAGCTACTATCAAGCTTGCAGCAAGCTCTATGTATTCTAAACACCCGAATGGTGTCGAATTCACCATGAAAGCCGACAACTATGCATCTCAAAGTTAATCAGAGTTTTGGTATGGGGTCATGAATTTGGTTCAAATGGACATATTGGAAGCATATGCGATCTAACAATATTCAATGATTCAATCGATTTCCATCCAGTCTAAAGTGATGAAATTGTAAATAATAAACTCTTATATTGTATACAGCCTCTCAAGACTGATATTACTTTAGCTCTAAAACAATGTTTCTTGACTACGATCGACCAATTAGCTATTACTGTTTGGAAATTATATATCTGAACTGCATATTCTTAGATTTTCATGGTCGCAGCTACCATGGAATGGCTATTTGAAATATATGAAATTTACCGGGAACACCAGTAAATATATGATTATTCAATTTTTCAGGGGCTAAATTTTTTAGTGCTTATAATAAATTTCACAGGGGCATCTAAATATACCAAGATTTTCAAGAATTACTATCAATCCAATTTTCCAAATTTCCCAAAACTTTGCATTACCTTTAAATAACTGATCAGGGTCTACAACATTCCACCAATTGTCGAGAATCGATTGCATTAGGCATGAACCTACTACATTAGGGCAAGCAGGCCCAAGGATCTTGCAATAAAGTATTACATAACTTTGTGAATGACACACCCCTTAACTCCCTGGATAGTAGAAGGTCACATTTCATTGTCTGATTTCTATCATAATCAGTCTAAATACATTTCATCAAATACTGGAACAAATGCAAAATACCCCCCTACAAAAGGAGCCCTAACCCCAGGGAAAAATACATGGGGGTTCTGGGCAATGTGCCCCCGAAATGCCAAAAAGAGCCCCCGAAAGTCATAAAAGAGCCCCCAAAAATTTGCATAAAGTTCAATGCAAAATAAATTAAAGAGTGTTATTTTCATGCAAGCAAGCTTGAAAAGTAGCCCCCCCCCCCCCCCAATTTTTTTCTCCCCTGCCTAACCCACACCCTGACCCTGACCCGGAGGCATAACCCTAACCATATTCCTATCCTTACCCTAATCCTAGATTTGAGGTACTGACGCATGGTGAGGTACATCTACAAGCATTCTGCAGATAGGTAAACAGCAATTAAAAAACAAAGGAAATTCTTTATTGCACTCAGCTATTTTAAGCATTATAATTCATTGGAATGATTGTTTTCACAGGGGCTTTCTTTGTCAAGGGTGTTCTTGGAGTTACAGGGGGGGGGCGGCATATTACTTATCACACAAAGACTCCCCCCCCCCCCCCAACATGACAATGAATCAATCAATCAATCAATCTAGTAAAAATATGAAAATTAAATTAAACAATAAATGAATAAATAAATTTTAAAATATGTAAATAAATAAACAAACAAATACATATATGGTATATTTACAGGGGCTGCCTCCTTCCCTCCCTCTCTCTTTCTCAACAGGTGAATTCTTTACCAACAGGTGGATTCTTTACCAGGGTTCATAACTCCTGATCATTACAACATAATACACAAGACATGAGTTGAGTTATTACTCATAGCTTGGTTTACTTGGGCCTTGGGCTCCAGAGACAGGAACTAACTCTCATTGGGTGAGGGTCACGTAATACCATCCGCTGAGATCCAGAAGGGTGTTAGAGTCATGTAACTTTAGAGAAGTTAATGCCCTTTTGGCCCTAAAATAGGAAAACAATAGTATGCATCCTACACATGTTGAGTCTTTAGTTCATTGAACTTCTTTGAAGTGCATGCCAAGTAATAGAGAACAGGTATATAGGCTAATGCACCTAAATCATATAGGATACAGTGAAACCTGGCTGTAGTGAAGGCCACTCAATGGAAACATGAAAAGTGGTCAGGTGGTTGTCAGGTAGATTTGACTGTATTCTCATTAATTTTCAAAAATCTTTTAGAACCAACTTAAAGGGATCTGGTAACTTTGTCTCAGATTCTGAAACAAAATTCCGGATTTAGCTCATGATGCAATGATAATTATAAACCTTTAGGTCAGTCAGGAACCCCATGACTTTTACAAGCCGATCGCCTGTCTGATTATCAAGATATTTATTAATTTATGATTGGAATTACAAATTTTGAAAACCGTTCGCCTGACGGTTTTCATAACACTACAGTCTATTGGGGAAAACGAGTATGGTAAAACCGGTCACTCAAAGATTTTTTACTTTTTTGAGGCACTTCTTGATCATTTTGAAGCGCAATTTTTTTAGGGCTTCAATATAACACCATATCACAGACACTGATAACACGTAGGGCTGTGTATCTCAGATTTAACATTGTTAAACGATCCCTTTAAGTATCAATCACAAGAAATAAACAGACTATGGGGTTTCAAACTAAGGATCATGTTAAAGCTGTACTTTACAATAACTTACCCGGTAGGCAGATCTAATTTGGAACCAAATGAGAAAATTAGAAATGTATCCATCCAGCATTTTAGATGAATTTTCGCACTTGACAACGAACACAACCAGAAAAAGCTGATATTGTTATTTCTATACTTATTTTTATTTGACACTATTTTCACATACTTTTTGTAATGATCCACTGAAATCGCTTAAAACATCGATAAATCACTGTGGTTACTCTCTGAATATAAAAGACACACACCCAAACACACACACAATCAACCAAACTTTCCCAGAGTGCATTTGAAATGGGGCCTGAACGTACTATATTTATACAAGTATTTTAATATATTGGCGATAGCAAGAATCATAATCATACCTGTACAAGCTTGCTCAATGGTGTTCCTGTGTACTTCCAGAGTCCCACTAATTTCTCCGAAGCCTACCGGTATATAAATCACGAATCGCATGATTGATAGTTGGTTAGCTTTACAGAGCTCTCAGCTTTGATTGATTAAATCCCTAAGGTAAATTTGAACGGTTGGGTTGTATTGCCTAAGGGTGTCTGGTCAAAGATTATTCCATTGTTTGCAAGTTAAAGACAAAAGGGAAACAAACGGTTCAAAAATATAGCCATAGTGCACTATTTTTCTGCCATTCACATCTCTGAGAACGTTGCAAAAACTTTTCAGTTTCATAATCTAAAACGACTACCAATTGGCTTTAGAAGTACAAAAAAAGTGACCCAAATTCCCTCTCTGACTCCTCCTTCGTTGTAACTTTCCTTTGCTACTAGTTCTTTGGTTTTTCTTCACAATCATCTGTTTAGAGCCAAAAAGGGCTTTAACTCTGTGTACAAGAAATGGGCTATCATCCTTTTACAGTAACTCTCAACAAAACACTCAATACTATATTCTTTTAAAATGTTCAATGCTCTTTCATTACCCTTTCCTTTCATATATGGTTAAATTGACACTTGTTGCTTGTGATAAACTTAAAGTTATTCCAAAAGGAACAAAAAATATCATAACTGAGTCTTTCATACATTCAGTAACTACCGAGATTAAATCTGGAAGTAAATGATTATCAAAATCTCTTCTTTTTCTTCTTCTTTTTGTGTGAACATAAAAACTCTCAAAATGGTGATGTTTGCTGTGCACATGATATTTTGATTTTGATTTTATTTTATTTTATTTCTGCATTTTTTCCATATAAAATATAACTGAATAACAAAGAACATATAAATGTAAGGTATAATACAACATAAACAAACAATAATTTCTTCATGTCAAAATGTTTTTTTACATAATATATGTACATATGATAACGAAACTTAATATTTCCATAACATATCGTCCTTGTTTTCACGAAGTGACGGTAGTGAGGAAAATCGTAACGCAAAGTGAATGCAATTTTTTTCACTACCGTCACTTCGTGAAAACAGCGACGATATAATCATAAATTTAAAGTATTATCCAAACTTTTCTATTGGAAAAGTGCAGGAGACCGCAATCATAAGCAAAGCTTGACAAGGATGGCGGCCTAAAAAAAAAAAAAAACAAAAACAAAACAAACAAAACAAAACAAAACAACAACAAAAAATCTTAAGGTAATCCTTAAAATGAAAAAGTGTTCAAATGATCTTTGTGTATGAGTTTGTGAGTGTGTTGTGCAAGTGTATATCAACTGTTAAAGAGCCAGAAGGGTGTTAACTCTGTGTTAAAATCTATGAGTTACCGGTAATGCATTTCTAGCTTTCAACAGATTACAGTTACAGGGTTGATGTGACTGTTGGAAAATCTCGATTTGAATCTCGATTTTTCAGTGCGTGTCAATCCACCATCCTCTGATGAGGGCAAGGATTTGACTCATACAGCATGATTGTCATATCTTAGCATTAATTTTAGCTCCTTTGGCTCTCAGCATTCATTAAATTATCTATCATCATAGCCAAATTCTCAAGTCATGGATTTCTGATGCATTGTCCAGATTTGAAGCTTATATAGAGCTGGCCAGTCATCTATCTAGGTCTTTGGGTCAGCTGTCCAGAGCTCCTCTTAAGGGGATTAAGAGGGATTAACCAAGAAGATTATCTGTTATATGCAAATTGGCTATAGGATGATTTCACTTTTATTATTCACACCAACAACACAGATTGTAGAGACTAGAGAGTGCAAAGTTGAGTCAGGTTTGAAATTTCTACAAGGTTTGTACTCTGAAAA